AAGACTTATTCCTTTGAGAAACTGTATTTTTGTTTACTCTATTAGTAATACCAGAGCGCCAGAGCGAGGTGTGTGCATGAAGGAGGCGAGCATAGAGCGGCAGACAACAGCGAGCGAGAGCCTGGTTGACCAGAGCTTGTTGTCCAGACGTCACCCTCCTTCCTGAACCTTTCAGCAGAGACGCCAGCATCTGTACGCTCTGTTTCCTGTCCACCAGTCCCAACTGTATACACAACCTTCCTGTACACATGTCCTCTGATACACTCTGAGATGCATAGTGTAGTTTTATGGCTTGCAGGAAGTGTTCTCGATTGGAGGAAGCTGTGACGATGAGTTTGACAGCGGGAGGAAGGGGCCTGGGAAGGCACTCAATGATTTGAAGACCAGTGTTGTTTTTGAGTTGATCTAATCCATCAAGAATAAGGACAAGAGGCTTTTCAGTTGAAGGCAGGTGGCTGATGAGGGATGAGAGGTGTTCTTTAAGCTCAGACAGACAAGCGTCGGGTTTTATGTTGCCAAAATCCAGCTGTCTTTGATCTGGATGTTGAGCGGTACTCCAGCTTTGTTTGCAGTCAGAAACATGCTTTTTGGTGCCGCCCTCATGTTGGGAATCCAAAACAGATGTTTGGCTACAGCTGGATGTGACCTCTCTGGGGTCGGTGGTACTGCCAGGATCATCCAGGTCACTGCAGTGGCTAGCATCCTGCTTAGACAAGGAGTCAGTGAGATATCTGCAGGATATCTGATAACACAAGCTCGAAAGCAGATGCTTTGGTGAAGCATTAATTGATAGGTTGCAGAAAAAACTGATCACCACAGGATCGCTGTCTGCAAGCCAGTGCTTCATCTGTGGAAAGAGAGAGATAGCTTTAAGCGTCAGTGAAACATATGCACACAAAAGGCACAAATTCTTATTACAAATTATATATAAACACTATATGCCTGCTTCAAATTTCCCTTTGGTCCACCTACCTGCTGAGTGCAGTGTGCTAGCAGGACCGTCTTTCCTGTACACGGGCCTCCGGTCACTACCAGAGGGAACTGATGGTACCTCTGCTTCACATAGGCTCTGACCTGCAACCAATAAGAGCAGAACTATGCTGCAGGTGTATAAATAAGGAAAAATGAATTATACAAACATGTCATGTTTTAATATTTCTAACTGCACACAGAACAAAAGTGCCTGTATTGTCAATGTAAATATTTTAGTCTGTAAAGGCTAAAACCATCCTGACCTTTTCCTCCTCGGGCTGAATGACGTCATAAAACCGACTGAGGATGTCACACAGCTGCTCCTGTTCGGCCTGCTCTCGGGATAAAACGTCACAGAGAGGAGAAGGTTCTGCGCTTTGAGAAACGTTCAGACCGTCAGTCATCTGCACAAGGTCACAGTACACCTGCTGGCACAGAGAATCAGCATAGCCGCGCCTCCTAGCTGATGTGTAACCATGGCGGCGGTCGCACTCTGTGGTGATGGTGTAGACTAGAAGTTGGCGGGAAGTGACGAGATGAGGGAGGAAGCACTCACACAGCTCTGACAGTAACTTTTCGTTAGTGGGTGATGAACTCAGAGTGGCATCCTGGAAATAAAGAAGAGGGAACTTTTCACAGTGGACTTAAATAAAAAGGGTACAAATTGTGAATTCTACATATCCCTTTAGTAAAATAAAGTTTCAAGAGTGGTCAGAAAGATTAAACTTTATTTTAGTTCATCCTTTTCCTGACGTCTCCCATAATTAAACATGGTGTGGCGGGGCGTGGTCTGCAAATGCACCTGCAGGCCTCGCCGGCTTATTCAGTATGAGGACTAGATGTTACAATCCCTCATAATGCATTGCTTCAAATGGAGAAAGTCTTGAGGGATGGCTGTTATGAGGAAAGGCAGCCCAGAAACTTTACCAGTGGGACACATCGTTGTGTGCCTCAACTTTACAGGGTCTAAAAGTCTGTGCTGAGTGACTGCTATAAGGTTGTTGTTGTTGGAGTGTATATTCGGCTGGCGACTGGAAAGCCGCAGCTGCGTGATTGTGTACAGCAACCGCGTCAATAAAGATGGTGAAAAACATGGAAACGTGGTCGGGTCTGTTGTGCATCTACTACACATGGCTTTTACCTCCAACTTTGACTGTAGTTGTATTTTCACAGGTCCCTTTTGTCTCTCTGCTTTTGCATTGATGATCTTGTGGACATAGACCAAGCAGCGTCTGCCGATGTCACTCTCAGGACAGCTTTCCAGAGCATAACGCAGATCTGCATCGAGGGCTGGAGACAAGTGGTAAAGCAAATGTTTACTTACACAACAAAAATTCCTTCCAGCTACAGGAGATATTCCAAGGCATAGACACAGGCTGCCCATGACACTAACAACAGTGGATTATGACAAATGACTTGACACACACACACACAGCTATGTGGGGTATTTCACCTGATCTGTAGAAGATTTTGGCCCTCTCTGGGGTCATGCTGCCACTTTGGACACACAGACTCACAGCTGCCTGAAACAGCTTCCTCAGTTCTTCCTCTTTAGTCTTGGTTTTGCTTTCCTCCTTCACCTTATTTCTTTCCTGCTGCGGAGGGAAAATATCCAGTTTATTAAAGCATTATAAATATAAATCATCCTCACATACACTATAAACACAATGTACTTGATTTAAGGACAGAATGTGTGATTCGATGGGATGTTTCTAAAACCTCAATAAGATTTTAAATGATGCATAACACAAGTTGAAATCGCATTACTTTATATTATATAACATTCTAGTTCATAATTAAAAAAATAAAGTCATAAAATTATACCATCGACTTTAATTACCAGAGAATAGCTGCGTCTGTGCGGAGCTCTCAGGCAGTAGGTCGTAGGGATGGTGTTCTCGTCCCTCTGATAAACTTTCTCCAGCTCCTGTGTACTGACGCCAGCCTCCTGACACTGCTGCAGCAGCAACTGCAGCTCTGACACCTCCACCTGAGCGGGCACACGGGCTGTGCCATACTGATGTCCTACCAGAGCCTGCAGCACCACCGTGTGGTCACAGGAGGAACAACAGCACGGGGAACTATTGTTTAGTATGGTAAGCTGGTAATTTATTAAGCTGATTACTATACAGAACATCTGCTTAAGAGACAACTGTGTGATGCTACACGTGTGATTTTGTGTCTTTTACTTATATTGGAAAGTGTTTCTATTATTTTGTCCATTTGTTGACACGGCTCAATGACAGAACTGTTCTGCAGCCGTGATGATAAGTTTAATTTAAAAAGGAGAACAAACATAGCACAGTGTAGATGACTTTGCAAAGTCCAGCATACTCCAGAAAGGGTGAAAAGCTTTTATTTTTAAAGTTCATAATACTAAAAACTGATAAAATTCAACAATAAAACTTTGACTACAACTCATGGCAAGGTGCTGATGTCCTTTAGAGCATGTCATCATTCATTGTACTGAGAAGTAAGGGTCAGTCTGAGATCCTGTTGGTTTACACTTGAGATTCTCCCCAAGGACTTTATTTACCAGTAAAAAAGGTCCAGCTGAGCTTCCTCTGCATTCATGTATCATCTGATGCCTGGTGTCTTCATCTGGCCAGCGACTGGGATCACTGGATTCAAACGGGTCTATCACCTGCCGACATAAACACACTCAAGAGTTAAAAAATGTGGAGTGGAAATAACAAATCAAGAAAGCTGAGCCCAGATCCAGTGAGAGCAAGCGTCTAAGGTGGGGTGAGGCATCGCGTTCTTTATTCTGTCTGCTGATTGCACACACCACAATGTGCTGACTGAACTGTCCCAATGTTTATTTAATACACATGAACGAAAACCAACACAGACAGTCGCCTCACAGCTGCTCATTCTCTTTGTTGTCAGATATAATTAAGGCACGTTATTGACTGCATCAGTGGCCTCAGGGAAAACGGTGGAAGACTAAAAGTACGAATACCTGCAAGCAGCTAAAATGCTACTGCTGTCACCCCCCCGTCGCTGGCGACATTACGCATGGGTGTCTTTGTGATGGACCACACGGAATATTAATGAGACTTTACTTTTATAGCTTCAAGATTTTGTGTTTTCTATCTTGTTTCTCTAATAAAGAGATGCACATTTCAAGAATCTTTCTATAAAGAGTAAAAAAAACCCTTTAATTTAATTACAAACAACCTTAAAGCAAAGCAGTTTTACAACGTGTCCTCCAGTGGACCATATCTAGTTCTCTTCCCAGCACTAAAAGTCATTAGTGTGAGCATTTATGCCATTAAAGTAATCTCGTTTTAATGTATAAAGCAACAGTGCCCACATCCTTCCTTAGCCTGTTTATGGCTTTAAAAGAACAGAAAGAATTCCCAAGAAAAACACAACTCACACGCACACTCACATCTACTGTTTCACTGACATGTTTTCGATGCAGCAGGAAGGTTTTAAAAAAGTAAAGTGTGTGCTCACCCTGACATCCAGTCCCAGCGAGTGTCTGCAGTGCTCTCTGAATCTGGGGAACACACTGTCCCTCAGAGCTCTACGCTCCACCACGCTGTCTGTACACAACACAAACAGGATGCACCTTAACAAGAACTCAAATGACACAAGAAAACATGATACAATCTAACATGCATATTTTTTAAAAACACACCTAGTTACAGCTGCCTTTCATATTAGGAATCACTGCCTACCTTCTGGGTTGGAGCACAGGTAGATTTTCACACAAGATGTGCTGAAGCCAGAATCCAAAGGGGATTTTCCTCCGGTGTGCATGCCTGATAAACAGCTGCTGTTCAAATAACAAAACACAAGGAGGGAAAACTCCTGGCAGGAACTTATCGCGCGTCCCAAACGGAGAGCAGCTCTGTGTCGTCTCTGCTGCTGTGTCTCATGTTCCTGCAGCTCCGCTCAGGAAGTTTGGCCTCGGGTGCTCTGGAGCGTGTTATCATGATCACACCCACTTTTGGTCAAACATCCACACAAACACGCTCAGTCTGAAAAAATCGATGTGTGCAACTTTTCAACTTTTCCATATTTTTTATTAATTAACATTTGTACACAATAAATACAAACTTTGTTTTTTTGTTGTCGTTTTTTGTACATCCAATAATAATATGCAGAAAGACTTTTGCACCTGTTCTCAATATTGTCACCATGGCAACAGTCTATTAAAGAGAGAGGCCAGTTGTTCCACCACATCGTTAATAATAACGGCAGCTGTGCTACTCTGAATCCACATAAGGAAAAATAAAGTGTCATTTAAAACATAAAAACCATACCAAATAATTAAACACTGTCGCGGACCAAAGAGACTGTTAAAGATGGGAAACGATCCGTCTTCAAAGTGGCAACTGGCAATGAAATGTCAATTTTATATATGACAGACTGACTGAGGAAGTATAACGGGAATGTCTGCGGATGCTGAAAAACCATAAACTTCAAAACAAGTTCGAAAACCAGTAAAAATCAGATCTCAGAGAGATCAAGGACAGGCTGCTGTTCCAAGTCGCCTTGACCACACTGTCACAAGTCAATGCTAGTCCGTACAACAGCAGAAGAGCAGAGGGTCGTATCTAAAAATGCAACTAATTCCAGCATGCTGAAGTTTGCTAGGATGAATGCTACACAAAATGTTGTGGTTTCACTTCTTACTTCTCCTTTTAGAAATCACCTCCACCGGGGAAAACAATCGATTTGCTTCCAGATTAAGACTTTTCTTACAGGAGACCTGAAGATGTGCTCCAGTGCAACACTACATAGTAATGCTAAGAGTTTTAAATTTAATATTAATCTCCATTATCCACAGTTCTTCTTTTGTTTTTGTTTTGCAGTAGGGATGTTATCTGAGACAAAGAAAGAGGATTACTGCCTGAATGTTCAGTTTTATCTCCTGCTGACAATTTGGACAATACTCTACTTTGCAATTTATTCCGTGCAAACGCTCTCCAAACTTGTTCATTTGCAGTGAGGAACTGGGACATATCTTAAGAGTCAAACACAGATTAGATTAAAATTCCTCCTCTCTCTCTTATAAACAATCACACTCATAAACACCCAGGCCTATTTCGAGACCAAAAAAAGAAAATGATTCATTCAAACGCATCGCTTTCTGTAATTTTTGTTTGTTTTGTTCTTAGAAATAAAGGAGAACAGCGAATTTCACTGTTCACAGTCGTCTCTCCACCTCTTTGGAAGAGCTGGAAGAGTGGAGATCTTTATTTGTGTTTGTTTTGTTTTTTAAGCATCAGTCACACTGAAACAAAAAAAGTCCATAGGATCAGCTTAAAAAGAACAACTCTGAATCATTTTAACAACAAGGATTCATCAGAGTCTTTGCCACCCGTGCCGATGCTATATGAGGGTACTGCTACTTTCCAAGTAAGGTAGAAATTAATAAAAGTGCTACGCTGCCCTTCAGGCAAGGAGTTTCAAAGGCTTTATGGCCATGTAAAGGGAAATGGGGGCATTTATTTACTTTGAGTAAAAAAAAACACACACAAAAGATTTGTACTTAGCTCCATTTGAATGTCATTTGCTAGTTCTGTCCATTTAGTTTGATTTTTTTTCTTTACACACCTCTTTCTGTTTTCTGTTTCTAGCATTAGGACACAAGATGTGGTGGCTTTGCTTGGCAAGACGAGAGAAAAATTATACCTGCAAATGTAATGAGCGTCAAGTAAACGTGCGTCTTAGTTGAACTGAACAGTGAACAAATCGGCATGAGAGGGATGAAAACTATACAGTTCTGTGCTAATAAGAAGTCCCGGCCACAAATACTTTCCTGTGTCTACATCATCTGAAATAAAACTTTTCTTTGTTGCCACATAGTGAATACCAACAATTTGAGTGCCTTTAAAAGCACCAGCAGCGCATCTCTGAACCAATCAGTGATACAGACATACGGCGCACAGAATGAGAGACTGTATCTGTCGTATAATGTATCTGCATGTGTGTATGTATGTATATGATAGTCACTGATTCACACTGACTGCCAATGGACAGAATCGTCTTTAGAGGAAAGAGGGAGAGACGTAAAGGAGGGACGGGAAGAGAGGCGATGCTAAGAGCAGAGGGAAGGATCCAGCCTCCTTTATCTCTCGTTTTCTTTCATCCTCTCCCTCCTTTGAGCTCTCCTTCCTGCTGTATTTACAATGCCCTTTCAGTATAAGATGAAGATAAAACTTCCACTACATATCAGACATGGTATTCCATTCAGCTGAGTTAGTTTATATGAAATGCTGAGCATAACATTCCTATGACGACAGTAATGTACTGTACTATTACACATTAAATACGTATGATGATAATGACTATATATGACGAGGGAAGGCCTAAGGAGAGGGACACTGCGTCCACGCACACCGCTCAATTTCCCTGGTCGTTCACTTCGTTCTCCACTGCTCTCCAAAAACGTGACAGACCTGGCATGTTTTTACTTACATTTCAGCCAGCTTTCTTTGGATGGGCCCACAACACTCACAAAAGGTAAGGAAAAGGTATCAGATAAGAATCAGACTTTTTTAAAAACAAAAACTAAAGCAAAACTAATGCCCCCGGGAATACAGTAGCAAAAAGCAGATTGTTTATTTCCATCTGCACTGAATTAGATTGGGCTCTCTTCTTTGGGCCGAAGCAACACCTGTACATGACGCTGCAAGCAACACTGACCATTGATCAAATCACACACACAGCATGAAAAGCATGAGCTGGGTTGCAAAGTGGCTTGCAGATGTGTGATAACTGTAAAGAGGCTAAAGCAACGTAAATATTGCATCCAGTATGATATCTGCCAACAAGATCCATACTAAGCCATCAGCTGTTCATGTGGGCTGCCATTTAAGTCAGCTTCTGCCTTTAGGGGTCACCACAATCAATCATCTGCCTCCATCCCACCCTAATTTTATAGTTATAGTGTATTGAGTTATATGTTTGGTTTGTCTGATAACCTTTTACTACATTTTGTCAGTTCTTGGGGCTTCAAAACTTTTCTCGTGCTTCATGATTATTTATTGGGAAGAGAAAAAATCTAAATATTGACTCTGATCTGCTCCTGCAGAAAGATGAATGGTCTTATGGAAAGCTTGACAACAGAAAACTTGCCAAATCCGTCATCTGTCACAAATAGCTTTTTCCCATCCTCCTCATCTCCTGACATTCTTCCTCTGCTTCACCGTGGTGTGATTTGCTGCCCAATGAGGTGAGGTTTTAAGGCAAGAATGAAAGGACGGGGTAGGGTGAAGGGATCGGGGGTGTGTGGGCTACTGCTGCACTTCATTAGGAAGCTAATACGGAGATTATTACATCGGATAGTCTGCCTTTGTCCCCTCTCTCTGCTCTCCTCATCCTCAGCTCAAAGGGAGAAGATACGGAGCTGCCAGGAGTTCAGGAGATTGGGGCGGGGGGGAGGGGTCAGCGTGGTTCAGTTCAGTTTACTTCACATCACTTTATTTAACTTCACTTCAGTTCCCAAGCCTGTAGGATACATCTGCCTTTCATCTGTTTTCATTTCTGTTTGTGCGCCTATAACCGGCTGTCAGTTTGTTTGTCTGTCACACCAGCGTGATCTCCACCTCCTCCGTCTTGTCGCTCTTCTCCTGCTGTCGGCGGGGGTGCTGCTTGGGTGGAGGAGGAGCGGCTCGCACCTGCAGCGGAGAAAGAAAACACATTAAATACAAGAGTAAGGAAAAGAAAGAAGCCAAAGTGAGAAAAACTGAAGTCAAGGTGATAATAGGGACGACCTACTTTTCTTAATTTGACAAACAGTTAAATGTTCACTTCCTGCTGCGAGACACAAATGTGTTATCAACGAACAGGAAAAGTAGGGAATTGTCTGCTTTTAGACTCTAACAAAAAAAACGGTGTTTTCAACCTATTGTTGGGATCTGTAGGTCACACAGTTTAACGAACACTTAAGTATCCTTCACATGTCATCAGAGCACAGCGTGCCAAACCATCTTCGAAAAATTGACGGTTACTTATATGTCATACATTCATCTGCTGATTATTTTCTTCATTAGTTTCTTTAAGTCCCTGTGAAATCCTGTGCCGTGACATACACTGTAATCTAACTACACGTCACGCTGATGCGGCCCGCAGTGAACGTTTATTTCTTGCTTCTCTTCTTTTTCTGATGCCTTTTTTTAATCGAGAAGAAGACAATGAATTGAGTTGAAGAGAGAAACCTCACCGTCGACTAGTGTTTCAGTGGCAAAATTACAAAGTAACACAGGCACAACATCACAAGTGTAAATGCTAGCAATGATGTCAGCCACTTGCAAAGACTAAGCAGCAGGGTGGGGATGTGGGCCGGACCAGTGAAACTCCCGTTTCTACCAGTGTAAAGAAGTTCAACTACACTTTTAATCCAGGAGATGTCTTGAAAGAGATCTTTCAAGACATCTCCTGGATTTTCTTTCAACAGATGTCTGTTGAAAGAAAAGGAAGTGCAGTTTACAGCCGTACATGTCATTTTTTGTCTGTGATAAAGAAATGCTGTGCACCCTACCCTCTGAATGAATGTTTTCATATAGAGTGAAACAGCATGGGCTTTTGTTTATCTATGGCTAAATTACTGTGGCGTAGTATGAATGAGGATGAAGAGGTCTTTGTTGCTGGGAAAAGCCATAAAAAACCCAGAAAGACCTTTGACCACTAAAATCTAATCCATTTGCAAATTTGGATGCATTCCCTCTGTGCTTTCCAGAGATGGGAGGAAATAAAAAGACAGCTCGAACACACAAACACTCACACACACACACAGTGCACAAAAAAACACTTCTTGAGTAACACTGATACTAACAGGTCGTAGTTTGCCCGGGCCTCCTTCAGGAGTGAATCTTGGCGGCTGAGTCTTAGCAAATCCTGGAGATACTGGACTCCTGCCAGAGCTTTGATCTACAGAGTGAGCGAGACAAAATTTCAAATTAAAAGCCCCGATTAACTTCCTCAGAAATCTCACTTTTCGTTAAACATGGTTGTTGTTGTATTGGTTGTCTTACTGTGAGCTGACAGCGGTCCTTTGTGTGACGAGGCAGGCAGAGGAAGCTTGTGCTCCCCATTAAGAGCAGCGGAAGGGGAACGTGGCAGAGGAGGTGGGGTGGAAGTCTCGGGGCTGGTGAAGGGACTGATGGGAGGCTGGTCGTACAGCGGAAGAGGTGGCAGAGAAGATGGCAGTTTCAAAGAAGGAGAGATCTACAGAGAGTGGTGGAAATAAAGAAAAGACAAAGTGGGCTACAACACAAAACTTGACCAGGATACTTTTTTTAACCAACATTCCCTGCATAGCACTTAAAAGATGTTGGGTTGCGTGTTATGTCTACAGGCTTATAGGAAGGGAGAGGCCATATCCTTCCTGCTGCTGAGCCTCTAATAGGGCAGCACTCAGTGGCACAGATAAGACCTCTTTTCTGTGATTGCAGTGCAGGTTTTTTATCAGAATGCTGCACAAACACAGCAGTTCTAATGCACTGTTTTTGAACTCTGACTTGCTGATAGATCAAATGGACAACAAGCAGGAAAGGAGGAAGGGATAGGGGTATAAACTGGCACAGTCGACTACACACAGTCTTTGGTATTTCTCCCCTGAGAAAACACTGATAAGACCAAATGTCTCATTCAGGTCTAGAGTAAGTCCTGTTACCTAAGATGACTTGTATGTTATCTGTGAGATTAATTCATGTGTGTACAGGTGTTACTGTACCTGTGTGTCACCTGCCCCTCCCGCGCTGGTCTCTCCATTCTCTGTGAGATCTTCTACCAACACGGAGGGGAAAACGCCCACCCGCCCGTTCAGCTCCCCCTCCCAGAAGCCGTCATCTGTCTGAGTGTCACGGCTCAACAAGCGGATCACAGCTCCCTCGGAAAAGGAGAGTTCCTCATCCGCCTGACCCTCGTAATCATAAAGTGCACGCACATACACCACTGCAGAGAGAAAGGACGATAGAGAGAGAGGGAGAAAAAACAATTATAAGTATACCGTCGGAACAATTATTCTCAGGGAAATGCAGTTTCTTGTCTGCAGGGCCCTTACTGTTATTAAGAAAATGGTATACACCGCTGGAGAGCACAAGATATACAAACAGCAGTGGATTTGCTCATGAGCCTGGTCTAACTATTCAGGCACAGCAGATACAAAGTAATAAAAAGAAAAACGGATGAAGATTAAGAGCAAGAGCACAGTAGGAGAAGATAAGGTTTTAAATAAGGCAGGTAAAGAAGCATGCAAAGACTAAAAAATAACATAAAATAAAGAGTTTTATATAGCAAAAGTTACAACCACCCAGTTTCCTCTCCTTGTTTTTGTTGTCAGCGAAATGGTGCTTGACCAATAAAGCTCGATTAATGCAGGTTTCTGGCTGTACGAAATAATTAAGTTATGCATCGTTTGCATTGATGACCAGATAAGTACGGCCTGTACAAGTAACTCCAGCTCCTTTTTTAAGGCTGTCTTGAATTTCAGCTCAAACTTTATGTCTACCAGTTTAATTTACTTTTAAATGAACTTGTGAATACTTTGGCTGGTTGATTACAACCCACAGGGCTGCAGAAATAAAACAGCAAAAGTTAACAGTTAACAGTCAGGTTAATGATCCGCTCTTGTTCTCTTTTTGTTCTCTTTGAATATGAGACAGGATTTTTACAGAAGGCACTGGTTCTAGTTCATTGACATGCAGTACTGCGATTCATTAAAAGTGCAAACATACATGGAAATACAATATTTGATGGTCTTTGGAAAACCTCTGGAAAGCCTGAATAACTATTGCTCAAGACCACTTTAAAAATGATCTCCTTGGATGCAAAATATAAAGAAATGAAGCATTGCTCAAGACCCTTGTAGAGTATTGTAAATGAACTGAAATGATTAGGGTCAAGGGTGTTTATTTAGAGCATCCCAGCAAGGTTCAGTGGGCAACCCCTACATTTCCCCTTTCCAATAATACCCTGCTTAGTGTACTCAGTGTACTCTACAGAAGCAGTAAAGAGAAAAATGCCTCAGTTAGTGGCCCACAATAACCTCATTATGGGTGAAAACTCATTTACACGGGTACAACTAGAATTAACCTCTTTCCTTTAACTACTGCCATGAAGTTTAATTAATCCTTCACAGCAACTGTGCTTACAGGGTTACTTACTATTTGTGTCTCCGTTTATGCAGCCCGAGTGCAGCTCTGGCTCTGTTGAGTTAGACGAAGTGTGTGACCGAGCATCGAGCGTAGCCAGAGACTGGAGCATGCTCAGCAGACTGTTGGAGGTCGGGAACTGCAGGTATTTCTCTGGGACATAGCCCACCTGACCTGCCTTATTGCGTGCCTGAGAAACAAACAAATAAACAACAACAACAAAAGAAGCCCCAAAAAGCATGTCAGTACAGACAGTAGCACAACAACGATCAAATTATTCAACTGGCAAAAAAAATGCGATACACATCTACAGCACTTGACTGCGATCGGGTACCTTAACCCAGTCCTCCATGTCTCCGTCCTCAATGACCTCCAACATCTCCTGTTCATCGATAGTTAACTCATCTGGTTGGGAGGCCTGAGGAAGAGACACAGCGGGAGTTAAAGAAAGAAAAACAGAGAAAGTGGGAAGGAGAGTAGGAGAGTATGAAAGGAGGAAAGGTCAGCAGTTGTGAAAGGACAGAAAAAGGGAGTAGCCAGACCTTATAGGCAAGGCAAG